TCGATGGGAAAGAAGTTGAAATAAAAATCAAGAGAGCGAAATGTAAACATTGCTTGTTTGAATGTGATGGACGTAGTTCAAGAGGGACTACACACCTTAGAAATCACATTATGAAGTGCCCCAAAAAGAAGAGACCCGATATTCGTATGAAGTGCCCCAAAAAGAAGAGACCCGGTATTAGTCAACAATTGATTCAAGCTACTATAAAAAATAAAGATGGGACTTGTGCACTTAGTAATTATCATTTTGACAATGAGAAGAGTCAAACTTTACTTGCAAAAGCTATCATCGTCCATGAGTATCCTTTTAACTTGGTCACACATGACTTCTTTCTACAATATGTGCAATCTCTTCGTCCAAATCACAAGGTTCCAAGTCGTGCACAAATCACAAAGTTATGTATTTATGGTGAATATAAAAAATCTTTATTTGATTTGTTTGCCACATCTTCCATAAGGTTGAGCTTGACAATGGATAAATGGACATCATCTTCACAAAATTTGGCATATTTGTGCATTACCGCTCACTATGTTGATGAATCTTGGAAACTTCAAAAACGTATTATTGGTTTCATTAAAGTCCATAACTCCACGGGGAAGGATATATGCAATGTTTTAATCACTCGTTTACTTGATTGGAAAGTTGATAATAAAGTTTTGTCAATTACGGTAGATAATGATAAAGCTAATGATGTTGCCGTTAAAATTGGGAAAGAACGTCTTAAAAAGTATCTACCTTGTGGCGGAATCTTTTTTCATGTGAGATGTGGAGCACATATTATAAATCTTATTGTTCAAGAGGGGCTTAAAATTATCACTAAAGCTATTGAAAAAGTAAGGCTTAGTGTTAAATATGTTACATGTTCACCGAAGATGGAAGAGAATTTTTATCATGTTGCAAAGCAAGTGAATGTGGTTGGATAAAAATGCTTAGCACTTGATTGTTGCACAAGATGTAATTCTACTTATTTAATGTTGATGAATGCTTTAAAGTACAAAGTTGCTTTTAATAGATTTGAACTTAGCGACGACAAATACATTCATTGTCCATCGGAGGAAGAATGGAATTATATTGATACTTTGAGTAAATGTTTGAAACACTTTTATGATGCAACTATTCTCCTTTCCGGTAGTATGTATCCTACTTGCAATCTTTTATTTGAAGAATTTTGTGAAATTCAATTGCTTCTAATGGAATGGTTGAAAAGTAATGATGATACAATTGTGGCAATGGCTTTTGCAATGAAAAGAAAATTTGATAAATATTGGAGCATGTGCAATAAGATTTTTACGGTGGCTACTTTTCTTGGTCTGAGGTACAAAATGATTATAATAAAATATTACTTTAAGAAAATTTATGGCTTGGATGATGAAAGGTGTACACTTGAAATTTTAGATGTCATCAAAAAGTTACATAGAGAGTATGCATCTCTTGATGAAAAGCAATCCAAAAATGATGAAAATGCTTCAAGCTCACAAGCAAAGGAAGTAGAAAGAGTTGGTGACAAAAGAAAATCTAGATTTGCACAATTTGTTGAAACTATTGAGAAAGAGCCTACAAAGACGGATTTGGATTTATATATGGAAGAGAGTATTGTCCGATGCGAAGATGAAACAACGAGGAAATTTGATATATTAGATTGGTGGAAATCAAGTCTTGGAAGGTATCCTATACTAGCAAAAGTTGCAAGAGATGTTTTGGGTATACCGGCTTCAACCGTGGCTTCCGAGTCAGCTTTTAGCACCGGGGGGCGTGTGATTCATTGTTATAGAAGTCGAATGACAACGGATACGGTAGAGGCGTTGATATGTACACAACTTTGCTCATGTTAAGTCTGTACGTGACTTTATTTCCGGATTTGTGGCTTGTTATTTATGGATTTGTGACTTGTTGTTTCTGGATTTGTGACTATTATTTTTCGAATTATGACTTTATTGCGTGTTTTTTGTCAAGAACATTGTGATTTCATTTTATTTTCCTATCCGACAATGGATTCACATATCAATGAAGTTTAATGTTCTGGAGATGTATCTTGATTTCTCGGGTGGAGATTCCTTTCTCCAAAACTCCCGATTTATTATTCTTCCAGCTTTGATCAACTCTGGATCTCTTCGAGTTTTGAAGCTGGCAAAATGTAATATACCTGATGCAGATTCTATGGCTCTTGGGAATGATGATGCTCTTGATGTGGTTAAGCTTTCGGATCACAACGACTCGGAGATTGCCGAAACATTTATAAAAGCACCCATAGGTTTGTTATTTAACTTCATAAGCATATGATTATCACATTTTAGTTATGGTATTCAATATTTTTTATTTTTTGTTTAGGGCCTTCTATGGTGTTCTGAAGTTTGTCATACAAAATAACAACAAAGTCTATGAGGTAACTTGTCTTACTTGTTTACTTTGCGAGTTATTAAAATCATATATATTTTTTGTCATATCCTAGTCATATCTATTTCCCAAATATCCGTTTAGTATCCGTATCCGAACCGTATCCGTCTCTCTAATATCCGAACCATATCCATTTCCGTTTAATGCGGATATGGTAATGCTTTTTTCTTACCGATGAATATCCGAACCGTATCCGTATCCGTTTTTAGAAAGTGGTTATGGTTATGGTAATGGTCATATCCGAGCCGTATCCGAACCGAATGCACCCCTAATATGCAACAATGACATCATCCAACCACAAATAATAATTGTTATATCCTTCCATATAATAATGAAAATGAGTTAAAAAATCTAAATGATATTTAATTAAAAAATAATCAACTTTAGAATGAATGCTTAGTGCTACCATATCTTGAACCTAAACATACAAATATTGATCAGTCACGTATTCTCTTAAATGTAAAGATTAATTTTTAAGATGTAAATATATTTTTGTCTCTTAAATACAGAGATAACTTTTTCAGATAAAGTATATTATATGTCCTATTACATAATATTAATTAAGGATCATCCTTTCTTGATAAAATTAAGCATAACATTTATTCAACCTCCTGAATCCCAAAAAGAAAGGGAGGGAGGAAGACAAAAAAAGAAACAAAAACAAGAGAAATGATCCAACACAAAAATTCTAATATTCCAAAATGTTTCCCAACTAGATAATGACAAACCCAATAGATCTTAATTTGCATATGAAATGCCAACAATTATAGCATGAAGACAATGTGAAAATATCTAAATTCAGACCTAGTAAATCAAACCTATGATATAGACTATTGTTTATTTATTTAATAACAATCTAACATTGCTCATTAAAGTCTGTTATTTATAACTTGCAAAAAAAATTCATACCTTCTTGCGGGAGGAGGTTAGTAAAGAAACCCATGGAAGAGAAATTGGAAAAGAGGAGGTGTTATGAAGAGGAGTGGGAAGAATTGGGTGACGCCCAGGCAGAAGATAAATCGAGGTAGGTGGACTTCTTGAGGGGAATAAATAGGAGGGAGAAGGCAAGAGTCCACATAGGAGAGAATATTGCTAGAAATTTTTAAAATTGAGGAGAGAAAGGAATTTTTACGAGAGAGATATTAAATACGTGAAAATTCTTGCGCGTGTTCGGAAGAGAATTTGGTGGGAATGTCGAAATCATGGTGAGTAGAACCAAAAAGAGAAAACAAATTGTTTGAAAAGTGGAAAGGGTAGATACATTATTAATTATTACCAATTTCTCTCTCCTCTGAGTTCACTTTCCATCCACTTTCTTAAAACCTTTTATAAAGTGAAAGAGTTTAAAATTGATTCCCTCACGTTTTTATTTACTTTCCAACTGCCAAATAGGGAAAAAAGAAAGAAAAGGGATCCACTTTTCCATTTTTTGCAAATTTTCTATTTACTTTCCGGTTGAACACACCATTCGTGTCTTTGAGAGATTCTAAGAAAACAAGAGCACATCATTATACATTACAACATGCAGGATGAGCAACAATTGACCAAACTTCAATGTTTTTAATTTTATTTCCTTTATTTCTTGAGGTATCGCATCAACATGTTTACTTAAGGTCTTATGCTTGGAAAGCCATTAAAAAAACCTGTTGGGGTTTGTATTCATTGTTAGGTATTAGCGCAACTGTTGACACACTGCTAAAGGTTGGCCATCATTATGTCTTTCTATATGCCAGTAAAGTAGAATGGGCTTAGCAATTTAATATACATACATAGGCTTGGCTCTCAACACCTCCTAGGCAAGTATTCCTAAAAGAAATCTATGCTTAAGTAATTTCCATGAGAGCCTCCAAACAAAGGAAAGGTCAAATTTGTTATTCGATAACAATCTGATTTTTAATGCATTAATTTAAACCATACTGTATCCAAGAAGCATAACCAGCACAATGTACTTTAACAAAGAGCTGAATAAAGACATATTCACGCAACCAGAATGAAATCTGTGGGATTAAGGCTCAGTGCCGGAGTCTAGCTTTTATCTTGAAACCCTGCTTTTACATAGAACCTAACAGATTAAAGACTAGAACAAAAGCTTGTGCAGTTTCTAAAATTTAATGTCTATTATTGAAAGCTACAACCCTTATGCTAACTCATTGTCTCACTCTCAACCATCTAAATCCTTAGGATTGGCTATCCCTCTGTCTAAAGAACGTTCAAGAAAACTGAGAAAATTAGAATGAGGCGTCAACCTGACATTAATTTTCCTATATAAGGAAACCACGGGCAAAAGAAGAGCATACCATCAGTATGAGCATGCTAGTTGACAGGTAGGTCATACTTGTGCAGTTTAACCTTACAAAACTAAGAAGCAACCATCCAATAGTTTCCCAAGGCTTTGAAAAAAAATTCTCTTTCTCCTCATTTTTCTCTGTGAACAAAGGTCGTAGCCTAGCTGAAATTTAGGGCTTGCAACAACTCACCTCCAACCATATCCCACCTAATCTAAGCCTAAGCATGGGGTTAACTTCTTAATTTATATGCACGGAGTTAACCTTCAGATTTCAAGTCACTGCCGAATTCAAGAATCTAGACTTGATCAATTACTGATATAACTTATTAACATGTTATCGACCTTAATATTCCATTCATACTAAATGTATGATTATGAATAATTAATTAGGAGTGATTAAATAAGGGGAGATGAGAACTTACAATCACTTCTCTCCTCTAGGAATCTATGGCACAACATTGGCAGAGAAATTTGATCACAGCCCCTTATCATGAATAAATAGTACAGCCCGTCTACAAAGGCCAATGCATCTCCAATCTAAATCAGAACAAGAATTTACCTTCCCTCAAACTTCACACAATGTAGATGAAAGTGTTCATCACCCAATTCAGACAACTCCAACAAAATCAGATCAATTCATTATCCTCTTCCTCAGATATCTCTGCATTCCTCTTTGCTGCCAACTCCAAATCCTTCTGTATCTGCTCCCTTCTCATCTTCATCCTCTCCTGCCAGTCCCGATACCCTTCCTCCACAACCTCCAAAAACTTATCCTTAATCTCGAGCAATGGATCCTTATCAATCAATACCCCCTTATCATACGCTTCCCTCAACATCGCCGTTTTAATTCCTCCTTTCAGTGACACATAAAATATCCCTGAATGCCTAGTAAATGTATTGCCAAACGCATTCGAAAATCTGAACTCCTCACAGAACTTCCCAATTACAGGCACTGCCATTCTCTTTGAAAGGGTCATTGACAGCAACTCGTGCATAACGCCCACCGTTCTCTTCTCCATCTCTGGTGAAGCCTGACTAAGCCCCGAAGCATCAGCATAAGGTGAAACGTAAGGCAATTCTAGCCAATCTCGAAGCCACTCTCTCATCTCTTTTCTCAAATAAAAACCCGGTGGAAGGTTAACATTGAAATTAGGCCTCATTCTAATCCCAGTGAGTTCTGATTCCTCCTCCGCTCTCTTTTCGATCACTGACTTTGCAAAATCCTCATTCCAAGAAACCAACTCCAAAAATGACTTCCCTTCACCAGGGCACCCAACCAATCTAATCAAATCAGGGTACTTAGGCACCAAATTAACCAACAAGTCATCGGGAAGCCCGAAATCCCTCTTCACATTAAGCAATTTCTCCGCATTTATAACCTTATCCTTCGACATCATCAGCAATTTACAAACTTTTGACAAAGTTCGTGCCTCCCACCTCGATCTGATCTCAGATTCTTCTTTCAGAAACGAATTCAAGCGATCAGAAGGGCGGAGAAAGGGGACGAGCTCGGATTTGGGCTTGATTCGATCGGGATAGGTATCGAACAAGAGAGGGTAACGAGAGAGGAAAGTTTTGACCTTTACAGGGAGTTTGAGGCGCTCTCGTCGTTTCTCGAGGTATCGCAATGGGATCACGCGGCCTGGCTCGTTGAGGACCTCGCGGACGACGCGAGAGATGAGGTTGTATCGCTTGTCGGATTCGATGGCGGAGTCGAGGGGAGTGTCCTTTCGCCATGCGACCTTCAGACTTGAGACTGAGGAGGTTTGGATGAAGGAGGAGAGAGATTTAGGGTTTGGGTTTTGAGAGAGGCGGGAGATTTTAGGGTTTAGTAGGGTTTTGAGAGGCATTCGGGGGGAGGAAAAGCGAGTGAGATGGAGGGCGTTGTACTGGAACTGAGGGGGAAGACTGTAAAAGAGACGCGGTTCGGATCTTGAATGATGATGGGATTTGAATCCGATAAGGTACTTCAATGGATAAATTTCACAAAATCTCCCGAAATTTGGAGGGGTTTTTATACAACTTGCCACAAAACACAAAATTTGAGATATTTTCTCTCAGACATTTTACTTACCAATGTCTGAGTTCATTTTCCCACCTTTAGTTGATCCAACTAACTTTAGTTAATCAATTTTTATCATGTGCAAATCATAAGAAAAATTTAGTGGAGTACTCCTAAAGTGCAAAAAAAAAAAAAAGTACTAAAAGGCTAATTTTGTCAAGAATATATTTAGTTGTCAGAAAAAGATGGGACATATAGGTGTCAAGTCAAAAGTGCTATTTCTTTTGTTTTCTTTTCTTTTTCCGTTTCTCGCTCTTTTTGTTCACTCATTTTCTTGAGTAAATTTCTCTTTTTAAGCCCTTAACTCCCTCGTGAATAGAAATAAAATAAAATAATTTTTGATCTAAAACAGCATCCTTCCGGTGCTACTCAAGTGCCAACCCCAAACCAAGAAAGAAAGTATAGACATCTCAAGTGAAAGCGGAGGGACCCTAATTCAAAATAACGAGAAATGATCGATATATTTTATTATTGCGTCTTGTAAAACTAATATTACTTGATTTAAAAGTTCACTGATAATGCAAAAATAAACGCAACACGTGCAACATATCAGATTCTGAGAAACTGAACCTTTGATAATTCAGCGACTGGACTCGATCTCCCTTTCACAATTTTGGAAGGCTCACTGAAATCCACAATGATTTCAGTAAAAGGAGGCTATCCTACATGCTTATATCTCATTTCCATTTATACCCATCAAAAATACTTACTGTTGAAACCAACTGAAGATATGTCCATAATGAGAAAAGCAAATGCATATATACAACAAGGAAAAGTCTAAAGAAAAAAAGACCTTTAATAAAGGAAAGTTGAAGAAAAGAAGGTATTATATTGAACACTTGAAATAATAATGGAGTCCTTTGGGAGCAGAAAAATGTATAAACTTCACATCTAATATCGGAATATCCTATGGTGGTGGTTAACGTTTGGTGCTCAGAGCCGAAAGCCACTCGCCCGTAACCTTCTGTTCCTATGTACTGACTTCGACATCGAACCAAATGTAGCTTTCATGTCCCAAGTGCAAAATGGACATTTGGTTAAAGGATCAGAAGAAGATATCGTTGGATTTAAATCTAATTAGTGGGCACATATGATTAATCAATGTATATTGCTATCTTTAAGGATAACTCACTTAAAGTGATCAATCAATTTGGGTTAATGGGTATTTAAATAAATCATGGGGTTATATGTACAGATACTAGGTTGTAATTATAATTTGATGAGGGGCCAAATTACAAATATACAACACCTATATATATGAGGTTATGGTCCCTAATCTAGGGTTAGCCACTCTCATTCTCTTATCCCCATCTAAAGAGATTCATAAGGGAGTAACCCTAAGATTAGAAGATCACCAAACCCTAACTTAAATTCAAGCAATGGATTCAGGTATAAGCTTCCGCTTTTAATGTTTATTCTTTATGATTTAATCACGATTAAGTCTAACAAGTGGTATCAGTGCCACCCGTGATTAATTCTTAGGGGTTTAAGTTTCTAAAAATTGGTTTTTTTTAATCTTAAATCTCTGTTTTTCAGAGCTGTTCACGGATGAACAGTAAAAGATTCGATTTTGTTGGCTTTTTCTTTCGGATTTTGGGATCTATCGCACTCATGAACTGTAAAGTTCATATTTTTTTTTTGGTTTGATTCCATTTTGAAGCTTGGATCTGAATGATTTGAGTTCAAAATCGACAGAAAAATTAGGTTTTTTGTTTTGGTTCGTTGACTTTTTCCAACTGCTCGCCGGAGTTGAATCGACGGCAATCCCACTGTCAGTGGCGGCGGCGGTTTTTCAGTTCGAAACCCTAAAAGGGGTTTGTTAGCTGCAGCCCAAGCGGCGGCGTTGGTACAGTTCTAAACCCTAATGGGTGAAAGAAAACTTAGGGCTTGAGTACTTACCAGTTCTCAGGCAAACTTCGGTTGATTCCAGCGAACTTCGGTTTGCTTCGTGAACCTCGTATTCAAACTTCAATTGGACGTGTTCTGACTTCTGATGAATTTCAGTTGAACCTCGTGTTCCAACTCTTGATGAACCTAGTGTTCAAATTTCAGCGAGCCTCGTGTTCGAACAATCAAGTGAACCTCGTGTTCGAATTCAGCGAACTTCGTGTTCGAACAATCAGGCGACCCTCGGGTCCAACTCATATGAGCTTCGGCTCAACTCAGGCATAGTCGACGTTCGTTGTTAGCGAGCTCGATGTTAGGATCTCAGCGAGCCTCGTGCTCAATTAAGACGAGCTTCATGTTCGTTAGGGACGAGCTTCGGCTGAGCTTTGATCTTCGGGTCGAGCTCCGGCTGAACATTGATTTCAAAGGCGAGCATCTCGAAGCTCGACTTCCGGCGATGCTCGACCTCGGCGAGTTTGTACTTCGCCAGATCATTTGGGTAGTTCAGACGAGTCTCGTACTCGTCCACAGGTGAACTTCGAGGTCGACGGCGAGCACGAACCTCAATTCGAACTAAGCTTCGGTTCTTTGTGAAGGCGAGCCTGAGATCTCCCTCTCTGTTCGTCGGCTAAAAGGAACTGAAGGCAAGTAATTTGGGGTTTCTGTTCGTTGGTTGATCTAGGGCACAAGCCCTCTTGAGCCTTTTAATCTTGTGGGCCGTATTAACTTATGGGCTCATGTTTGTATGCTTAATATAATTAATTAAGCTATGATGCCCTAATTAAGTTTTTTGAAAATTTAGTTAATTTGAATTAAATTATTTAATTTGAATTAAATTATTTAATTTGAATTAAATTTGGCAGTTAATCAATTATTTAATTCAAATAATATGACATTAAGGTATTAAATTTTGTCTCTCATTCCAAATGATTAATTAAAACAAGAAGTTGCCAAAGTAACATCTCTTGTGTAAATTGTTCATGAGGATGTTAGATGGTTGTGTGTATGTTTTCGTAATCGGCCAAAGGAATGTTAATATTTATTTAGACTGCATACACATTTGTGATGATAAACATGTGACAATTATAAGGTTTACATGTGAATAATGAATCGATCCAAATATATTTTTATTATTTGACATGACTTATTGTCAATGTTTGATCATTGCAACAATGTATCACTTACAATTAATATTACTGTCCAAAGACTTGATATTAATGTTGTGTCAGATATCTTGAGATGAGATTTGTCATTATTTGAATTTTATTGATTACTAATTACTGTTAATAATGTGAGTATCTTTTGTTTATTTCAACTAATGCATATGCTGCAATAATTTCTGCTAACATCAACTCAATTTCCATGCTAAATGAGACTAATTTCAAGGTTTGGAAAGAGAACGTATTAATTGTTCTTGGCTGCATGGATCTAGACCTTGCATTAAGAACTGAACAACCTCAACCTCTCAATGTGGATAGCATTCCTGATGTAAATAAGGAGTATGAGAAATGTGAGCGTTCAAATCGCATGAGTCTTATGATCATTAAGCGCGGCATTCCGAAAGCCTTCAGGGGCATAGAATCCAAAGGGGTTACTAAGGCTAAAGATTTTCTTGCCGAAATTAAGAAGCGTTTTGCGAAAAACAATAAGATAGAAAAAAGCACGCTTTTAGCTCGCTTGATTTCGATGAAGTATAAGGGCAAAGGAAATATCAGGGAGTACATTATAAAAATGTCTCATATTACTTCAAAACTTAAGGCACTTAAACTCGATCTTTGCGATGAGTTATTGGTGCATCTGATTTTGTTGTCTCTTCCTGCACAGTTCAGTCAGTTCAAGGTCAGTTATAACTGTCAAAAGGAGAAATGGATTCTAAATGAGCTCATTTCATACTGTGTGTAAGAAGAAGACAGGTTGAAGCAATATAAGACAGAAAGTGCTCATCTGGCATATGCCTCTAAGGATAAGAGCAAGAAAAGAAAGAATGATAATGAAGCTGCTAAGGGTCCAATTGAGAAGAAACAACATAAGGATAATCAGTGTTGTTTCTTCTGTAACAAGTCTGGACACGCAAAGAATGATTGTACCAAATATCACGTCTGACGTGCTAATAAGGGTACGTTCCTTACTTTGGTTTGTTCTGAAGTTAATTTAGCTTCAGTACCTAGAAATACTTGGTGGTTAGACTCTGATGCTACTACTCACATAAGTATTTTTATGTAGGGTTGCTTGAGCTATCGAAAGCCAAGTGGTGTTGAAAGACACATCTTGTGGGCGACGGCCAATCGCTAGATGTGGAAGCAATTTGGCATTTTAGGTTGTTATTAGGAACTGGTTCTTATTTGGACTTAAAAGATACTTTTGTATCACCGTCTTTTAGACGGAATTTGGTTTCTGTTTCTATATTGGATAAATCAGGTTATCATTGTTCATTCGGAAACAGTCAATTCGGATCATCTTTTAATTCAAATATTGTGGGAACTGGTTACTTGAGTACTTATGACAACCTATATTTGCTTGATACAATTGCTTCTTATAATGAATCCTTACATGTGGAATCACATGGTACTAAGCGTAAATTAAATAAGAAAAATTCAGCGATATTATGGCATAAGCGCTTGGGTCATATCTCAAAAGGTAGAGTTGAGCGACTTATGTCTGATGACATTTTGGATTCCCTTGATTTTTCAGATTTCAACGTATGTGTTGAATGTATCAAGGGTAAACAGACTAAAGTTAAGAGATTAGGTACCAACAGATCTTCGGAAGTCTTAGATTTGATACATACAGATATTTGTGGGTCATTCCCTACGGCATCCTGGAATGGTCAATAATATTGTTCGCGGTGAAAATCGTTGCTTTCTTCATTGTTGATTCCATTACAAATTCTTGTAATAGTTTATCGATTACAAAGATCCGGTCTTTTTTAGATCCGGTTACAACGAGAATCAAATAAAAAAAAGAAATAAAAATTACAACTTTCTCCTTGTTTGTCGAACGAATCGCAAGATCCTGTTTTACGGTCTCTTACTTGTGTGGGTTCTTTGCCGACGCCGGGG